TTGTTTTTTCTTCTCGTAGTGGGACTCGTGTCCTTAGCAACCTGGGTCACGTTTGCAGGGTGTGTTTTCACACAAACCATGACCTGATCCCAAAGCCAACCAGTAGTTTGGTGCTTGGACTAAACCAAGCAGGTTTGTGTATAAACTAAATGAATAGGATTCAATGCAGCAAAGAGAAAACTGTAGTTTGAAACCAAAGTAAATAGCAACTGAAAATGCAACAAGGTGTAAAAAATAATACAAAAAGTCCCAAAACATCAGAGTCCCTCGTTTGGTCGATGCCACCGCCTGTGGTCCAACCTCCAGGCTGGACTTTGTTGCTCTTTTCATGTGCAAAGTGAAAGAAACATGTGAGAATAGGACGGAAAACGTAAGAATCTTAAAGTTGTACATCCGGTATCGTTTGCAGAAAATCCATTTTGCACTGTGAACCAACGTGCTCTTGTACATTGACACTGGCGCTGGGAGTGGCAGCGTAGAAGACAACTGATGATGTTCTGACAACAACACTGTCAGTACTTTGCCTGACAGGTTTTTGCCTTCTATAGTTGACACTTTCTGATGTGCTGCTGAAGCAAAAGGAGGAATCAGGTTTAAGCAAAACAGAGAAGTTGGTCCCAGGAACCGAATTTTGATTGACCTCTTGGATGTAATCATGAAGAACAACCTAAGACTGGCAGATGTAGTCTGGAGATGACTAAACATGTAAAACCTCCTTTGAGTAATTTATCTCCGTATTTACATGTGAGGGAAAGCGACGCGACAAGCGGCCGTCACTGGAAAAGAATAGACGGCAGGAAAAAAAGGAGAAAAACAGTGTCATAAACATGTTAATGATGACAAATGGAAGAAACACGACACGTGAACCATTACGGCTGCAGTCTGTCCTCAGGCAGCCAAAGTGGAATTAGGAAGGAGATCCATTATGTCCTAATGAGTCAGAGGAGGAGGAGGAGGAGGAGGAGGAGGAAGAGGAGGAGGTGTGCAGCGACAGTCTCCTCATAACGAGTGCAGCTGATCGTCAGACAAACGAAGCACAAGTTGCTTTCCAACAACGTCCAAGCGTTCCTGCATGTGTCTCTGTGCCATGTGTCACTGAGGATGTTTGAGTGTCTGCACATGTGAGTCTTTGTGTGTTTTGTGTGTTTTGTGTGTTTTGTGTGTTTTGTGTGTTTTGTGTGTTTTCATGTGTGTGTTGCGTGAGCGCTGGAGTGCAGGCTTCACTGCCGGAGTCTGGTCTCCATTAGGTCCTTATTTCTGTTCCCAGAGCCCTCTGTTCCTCTTCTGATGGAGGCCCGTTTCCACCAGGAAAAAAAAAAGGATGAAAGTTGTGAATGAAAGTAAAGATAAATACAAAAACTCTGACTTATTTTTAGTCCAAATTCTAGATATACCTTCAAAACCTGATATGATGTTTGAGGTAGAACTTAGAAACTGGATTTACTAAGTTGTGAAATGTTTCCTCTCTCGTATCACCAGGAGCATCTACTTTCCTTCATTTCTTTTCTTTTCTTTGCTGAAAGGAAAGTCCACTGAATGATGTAACCCAAATACTCCAGGGCTGAGCAGTCCTGTTTGAACCGATTTAAAACCTTCTGGATTTATTTAATATTCCTTTCCTCAAAGGTCTAATTGAGTATGTTGGCATCAAGTCCTTCTTCTTTCGAAAGTCTGCCTTCAAGGATTTGTTCTTTACTGGATCCTGGCTGTTGAAACATCCTCAGTGCTGTGATGCAACACGCCTCTGACCGGCCGACATCTTGTTTATATGTTGTTATAGGAAGACGATGCCTTCACAGTGCAGGCCTCTGGCCTTTTCGTAGCTCTTTCAGGACATGGAAAAGTCGTTTTCCATACATTTTTCCAGGCCTGCTTCAGAGCTGCTGTTTATTTACTTTCCTCCAGTGACTTTCCATTTCTGCAGCCTCTTTTCCCTCCATGTGGCATTTTCAAATAGTGACAGGCTGAAAGACTTCACTGCCCCAAAAGCGTTTGTTTCTTCCATAAACAAAAAGAAGCCTGGTTTCCCCTCCGACCCGGTGTGGCGGAAACACTGCACCATGTGGCTACGGTAAACCAGGCACTTTGTTTTCTTACTTTTGGGGGGAGGCAGTGTGAAAAGGCAATTTTGCGATGAAGGGTGTTATGCAAGCAGCCGTGCAGCCCCTGGATTCAGAGAGGAAATGAAAGAATCTGAGGGTGAAACCTCTCGGGTCAGAGCTTCACACAAAGACGGTTTCCTGCCTGGTTCTGGGGAAAATCAGGACAAACATCCCAGAAATATGGAGACTTTACGCTGGCTTTCTTGGACTGCATCGTGTTTCCATCAGCAGGAAACGCAGCGTTCATAATGTCCCGCTCAAGTCTTTTCTGTTCTGACTGATTGTTTTTGTCTTTATGTTGTCTCGTCCTGCTCGGGATCAGATGTTTCCCTCGGAGACAAATAGGCCGGATAGTTTCTCTGCCGGGCCGTGAAGCAAACTTTGAGTAACTCTGGAGAGGCGGCTGCATAGCTGGGGAGTGAGGTCAAGCCTTCGCTGCAGCTGCTGCCTGCAAAACACTAACAGATAACAGAGCTGCCTGTCTATACCGATGCCTCTTTCTCCCGACTGCTCTTGCCTAAGTTCACGTCAAGACCTTTTCGTTTCACCGTCTCCAGAGTGTCATGTCCTTCACTTGTGTCAGACTCGGGACAATCAGCACGTGAGCATGACGCTGGACGGGAATGAGTCAGTGGCACACTTCATCCAACTGGAGACGTGATGCGTCCGACTCGCTCGGCTGAGCTTAGAAACTGGTAAATATCCTGATGTAATACTGCAAATATGGCTGAAAGGATGAGCCGGGCTTCTGCTGTCTCTGCTGCTCGAGTCCCGTCCTGTCTACCAGCGACGTTTGGTACCATCAAGGTCCAGTTGGATCAACTCTGAACTTTAACTGTCACATGAACCGAATCTTAGAGGGCCGTGACAGACGATGATACTGAACAGGAAAATATACAATACAGTCAGTTGTGCTTCTTGACCTTCCCCGAGGATGTCCATCCCTATACAGCTCAACTGCTTTCTCATCATGTTCTGATGGAAACATACATGAAGTTTGTTTGTGATGGATTACAAATGCATTTCAAATCAACGTCTCTTTGCTATTTATATTAGAAAATTGAAATTGTATGTGCTAAATTATAATAAGTTCATTCTTGATCTGATGATGAAACGTTTCTGGATCGCCCACCAAACATTCTCCAAACCTTTACCCAGAACCATCTCCTGTCAAACGAGATCCTTCTGGACGGTGGACGTCACTGTGAGGTCAATAAATGTTGGTTTACACCCAATGCACATAATTGCTATTTATTTATTTATTTATTTATAAATGTATATATATATATATATATATATATATATTATCTGACAGTTGATGTGCATGTTTAAGTATGTTTTTGACTTGAAAGAAAAACCTTTTAGTGGTGTCTTTGTTATTCTGGAGCTCCATAACTTTCAAGCTAATGCAGCCACAGCGCCGTGCAACCAAAGCAGTTTTCACTTCAGTGACTCATTTCAACGTTTTCCATGTGGTTATAGAGTGACGCTGCTGTTTTGTTGTGTAGACTGATGGTGCAGCGGTTGTTAAAGGATGCCGATGTGGTTGTAGAGTGATTTTTGTCTGTTTCTAAACAGACCAGACACTTTGGCTCAAAGGATATGTGGCTTCACCTATACGTTAAATCATCCCGTCAGGAGCTGTGTTGTGGGATGCATTCTGGTCTTTTATCATGGTGTTGTGTTTCTTTGCATTTTTGTGGTTCAGGCAGGAGACAGGAAAGACAAAGAAGTGTCTGCCTGATTCTGACCCTGGATGCAACAACAGAGTGGAAGTGGATGTTGAACATATGTTTGAATGAAGCAGCTAATCAGGCCTCATTCAGGGTCGCACACAAAAAGATCCAACTGCAGGTCATCCGTAGTGAAACGCTGAGTCCAAGTGACTCATTATTACTCAGGAATTACTGAACAAAATCAAAGTCCAAGTCCTGAGTCACGTTAAGTGAAGCTGCAGGAATCAAGGACGGCCAAGACTTGTAACGCGCTGCGATGCCAAAACTCAGATTAGAAAAACACGAGCTGATGAAAGTCGGTCTGGTATCAGATTTCTGTGGAAGTACCTGCACACTCGGTCCAAATGTGTCATCCGGCTCGTTAAATGGCAAAGAAAAGACTGGACAGAGTCAGAACGTGAGCTTGCTCATCAATTACTAACGATAAGTCAGAAGACAAGCGACACATTGAAGGAAGACGGCTGTAAACCTGCATTAACCCGAACTAACCCGGACCCTCAGTCCAGGCCACAAACCACTTTGTTCTGCTTTCCTTCATGTACCGCTCAGCCTCACAACAACTGGGACTGTTCAGGAAGAAGACACAGCAAGCTTTCATGTGGATTTCTTTTAAGATTTATGTTGGATTCTATAAAATGAAATGAAAAATGAATTTAGATGGAATCAGATCATTAACCAGAGCAGGATGAGGACTCTCACTGCTGGATACCTGCAGGATGCCAAACAGTGACCCCTCTGTTGGTATTGTGTGGTAGAACGGTTCCATTGTTGGGAAAGCAAGTGTGCTAAAGTCCTTTAAACCTCGTCTTTACCTCCTTTGCCTACAGTCAGCTGTTTGTCCTGGGTAAGGCACAGCTGGTGGGACAGTGGTGCCTTGTTTCATTAATGCCTCTTTCTGTTACTTCTGACCATGTGACAAACAAAAAAGTCCAATACGGTTGAGTAAATAAAAGTCAATTTGTCTTAATTCTTATAGTTCTGGTTCTAATGATCTCCTTTTCCTGGTAAGAATCTTTAGGGGACGCCTGAAGCCTCTCTGCATTCAGTTTCTGATATGTGGGCTTTGTCAGAACATTATCTTTCTGTCAAACTGTCTTTCTTTTGTATTCCTGGAAAGCAGCTGTCAGAACTCTCCTGATTCCTCTGCTTTGTGTCTCTTCAGGTGCGTTCATTGTCTGCTGGACCCCCGGCCTGGTCATCCTCCTCCTCGACGTCTTCTGCGCCAGCTGCAACGTCCTCGCCTACGAGAAGTTCTTCCTGCTTCTCGCCGAGTTCAACTCAGCCATGAACCCCATCATCTACTCCTACCGCGACAAGGAGATGAGCGCCACCTTCAGGCAGATCCTGTGCTGCCAGCGGCAGGAGAACGTCAACGGGACGGCGGCCGAAGGATCCGACCGCTCGGCGTCTTCCATTAACCACACGGTGCTGAGCGGCAGCGGCATGCACCACCACCACCACCACAACGAACACTCGGTGGTGTAAAACACAGGCTGGAGGTCTTGGAGATGAATCCATCTGCCTGAAGAGGTTTTCTCTAAAGGTCACTGCAAGAAGGTAAATGGATGTTTGTTGAGGATGAGCGGGACATGATATGGACGAAAGACACGATCAGTTTGGGAGGCGGGTAGATGAAGCTGAAGATGAACAGCAATGAAGAAGAGGATGGAGAAAGATGGAAGGACTTCATCTGTCTGGAGAACAGGAGTCTGACCTTCAAGGACTCTGATAGGCTGTTAGTATTTTTGTTTAGTTGTTTATTGTTTTCTATTTGTGTTAACTGTGTTGTTACGGGCAATGATGACATGAACTATTTAAAAGTAATCTGTGAAATGAAGGTAATGCCAGTATAGCCCGTCGTCTCTCTGCAGGCGCCTCTGACTTTCTGATCTTTAGATCCCATCACGCTTCACATCAGATGTACGGTGGTGCTACACACACCATGTGAAGCTACCATTGCTTTGGGTCTGATCCCAGGTTGACATCACTATAGTTCCTTCTTACATTTAGTGGAGAAGACTTCAGATCTGTGGAGATTTTAAACCAACATGTGTTGTTATGTGACACAAATGTGTGACTGAATATTATTTCCTGCAGCTTTAAGTTCAACATTGACCTTTTGGAGACTTTCTGGATCAAGTTCAGTTACACAGATTTCAAAAGGTTGCATCCAAAAATCTACCAATGAGCTGCCGGTGCTTCTGAGCACGCCAACGAATATCTAAAAGTCTGACATGTTTACCATGTCTAGCAACCTGCCAAAGCCCCGTCCTGGTCCATCCATCGTACAGTCAGCACAGTGTTTGGGAAGCCGTCCTGTGACCTGACAGCCTGAATGCTTCGGGCTGCTTCACTCCACTGACCATCCTCGCTGATTAAAATGCTTGTGTGAATCCATCCCAACGGTTTCTTGCTTTCATCCAACTTAAATACACGAAGGGTCCAAGACTTGCAAGAAACCCTGGTTTGTTTATTCCCTCTGAGGAATTAAAGACTTGTTGTTCCAGGGGTCTCACCAAGAAGACAAGCAGGGTTATGAGCTGAAGGTCATGTCTGGTCAGAGGTACCAGACCGCCTCTTGCTGTGTCCACGAGGAAGTGAATGTGAAATTATAACCAGTGTTAATGTGTTGGAGCCTCCTGGTGACTCTGACATTAAAACTACACAGCTGGCAACAAAACAGAAAGAGAAGAGGCGTTTCCAGAAGGTGGTGGCTGCCCTGCTGAGGGCGGGCCGTTCCATCAGTCCAGCATCAACACAACGTTAAAATGGATTTAATGAATGAAGGATTGAGCAACCCGACAACATCCACTAACATGTTTTCTAGCAGCTGTGCAGAACTGAACAGGCATTCAGCTCTGTCACAAGGTCAGTTTATACGAGGTGGGCAGAGTCAGACTAAAGAAGCTCGATGACCAGTTTGAACTTTACCACAGTTTAGTAATGAAGCCCAGAATGAGAAGTCTGCTGCGTTGCCCTGAGCGGCGCTTGCATCCCCCATCCCACAACATGCCCTCGTGTCTCGGCGTGTTGGGCAGTTTGTGGGACCAAAATGAAGTCAGGGTTCACCAGAGGCAGCGCTCGGGTGTATTTCAGAAGACTCAGTGACTCTTCGTTCAGGGACTCACGGACTAGAGCAGCCTTCTGATTGGCTGTGGGAACGCTCCAGTTTGCTGCATCTTCCCTGTTCACCAGAAAATGACTGACGTGGACACGTGTTCTTACCGTGTCATTGGTGCTGTGAAGTAAACATTAGAACATGTTTTGTTGGTGGCTGGAGTTAAGATGATGGTGTTTACTGCAGCACAAAGCAAGTACCTTTCAGTGACGCGTTGGCGTATCCGCTGACCATAAGACGCTCTGAGTGCGTTTTCACAGTTGGCTGAGTGAGAAGTGAGCAGAAATGGAGCCAGTCCAGTGCTGAACGATGTCACATTCTTCTCCACAAGTGCCCTCCCTGCCCTCTGCCGTTAACTACAGATTTGTGTGCCAGCTGAATGTCAGCGTGGTGATGCCATGACGTACGTCCTCTCTCACTGCCAGCTGATGTTTTGTCATGACTTGAATCAAAACAGTTTTTGGCCAAAGCACACAGTCACGGCTCCCAGCAGCCGACAGCCAAGTCGGAACCGCAGTCGGGTGTTATCCAGGAAGAAGATGTCTGTCAGGATTTAAGCTGCAGCGCAGACATAAAGTCAGCTGTGATTCTTGCCGGTCGCGCGTCCAAATTTTTAGCCAGTTTATCGAGAACACGATAAAGATCACAGCTTCTCCTTGTCACCATGTGAGGCTTCCCCACGGCTTTGCTCTGTCTTCTCACTGCTCACATGAGACGCTGTGGTCGAGGCGCCGTGCACCAGTTTCTTTATTGTGTTGGTGCATTTTTTATCTTTGTAAAATAAATAAATAAATAAAAGCAGAGAAAATCACAAATCTTAACTTCCATAAAATATTTGCTTGTTCTTAAACTCCACGCCTGTGAACTGACGCGGGTCTGAGCGCCGCTCATTGTCTCATCCACCAAACTCCGTCCATGGACGGCCTCCATGTCCCACTGTCACCCAAAGAACTGATTCAGGTTATTATAGCAAACCAACTAAACTTTTCTATGGCTTTGTTTACCAGTGTGTCCCTCTTCGTATACCGTTGTAAGTACATGTGTACAGTATGTTTATATAAAATATATTATTCAAAGTTAATCACCAAAGGGAAACGTGTTGTGTGCCTGTAAAGTGAACTGTTATACTCTGTCCAGATGTACTGTAGGATTGTCTTGTTTTTTAAATGTCATTTGTATTGCAACCCTACTTACTGAGTTACCTGTAGACACTATTACACTTACTAACCTGTTGTGTGTGAGTGCAGCGAGCAGCTCAGCACCAGACTGAGCGTCTCTGTTTGAAGCCTTCAGCTTGTTTCCCACCAACACGTCCACTGATGGACGCTCCAAAAGTTATATTCAGGCGCAACAACACCTTGTGTCACTTTCTGATATATTCCTTTTTTTGAGTTGCAACAGCTTCTATAGAAATTATGTTCAACCAACGACGAGTTAGTGGAAATATCGCTTTCTCTACAATCCCAGATATTTCTAAGATGAGAACAGATTTATTGATTATTGATTGGTAGCAGAAACACAGTGTTTTATGTTGAGATATATATATATATACATATATGTATATATATATATATATCTTAGGATAGGTTTGAACAGAAGTTAAACATTTTTTAAAGTTCATTTGCTCCAACTGGATTTTCTTCGGCAGGTTTTGGCCTATTTTATGTTTTTGTAGCTTTTCAGGAATTACTTCACTCGTTGACATTGAAATTGACTTTTCTTTGATATATATTTGAACTGCAGTCATTTATTTGCATTATATTTATACATTGAACATAAAGACATGAAACAGTAAATTCAGGTTTAAACATTCAATATTAAGTTGATGCAGTTATTATGAGGTTAACTTTTATCTAATTTAATAAATTAGACTTTTCTTTTATCTACACCCATACATTGAAGGAAGTGTCCTATTAATGACCTTTTCAGAGCGAACACTGATCCGTCCCTGCAGCTCGGTGAGAATGAAACCACTGGAGATCATCAGATGATGCTAAGCTACTTTTTAAGCTCGTGTGTTGTTAACAAATCGTCTCATGACTGCTTTAAAGTACAACAGAGACGAATGTCAGATGAATGCTTCTCAACAGAACTGCTTCTGCCGTTGTTCTCTGTGTAAATCCAGAACTGTCCTGTTTCCCACGGATGGTCAGAGACCACTTTTATGCCTTTCTCTCCTCAGACTAGCCCATCCCGGCTATTGTGCCCTGACTGCTTCTTATTCTGTCTGAATGCTGCGTCCAGCTGTGGCCTTCAGGCTGATGTTGCATGACGCAGCGTGTTCGCAGTTTAGGACTGTTTGTGTTTTTAATACCAGAAGCTGTGCGTTGCAAAGTTGTACCCACAGTGGGGATGTGTGCACTGCTGAGGATTCATGACTGATCTGAGCTCAGCTGGAAGTCTGAAACAGTCTGTTTTCCAAAGCGAACCATTGCTCTAAAAGGTTGTTGAAGAAAAAAAGAAGCAAACCACAGATTTTAACAAATGTACCAGTAGTTTCTAGAACGTAGTTGTGACACAGAAGTAAATGTGATTTCCGTACTATCTATACTGTAGAGGCCAATATGACTGAATGTCCTGCCAGAGTCATCGTGTTGATGTTCCAGCAACAATAAAAATCATCAGAGAGTCTGAAACCAGGTGTGAGTGTGTTTCACTGAAGTCAATTGTTCTGTGTGCCCAGACTTGGACCATTACTGATGCTGGGGCGGCACAGTTTGGTGATCATCTGTTATCCACACAGAAGTAAACAGTAAACATTAGTGCCAGCGCTGTGCGTTCACCCTGCAGCCTGTCTTGTCAACATTTAACCAAACCAACTGAGTCCAAACATAATCTGGTTCAACACTGTTCACCACCTTCCCTTCTAGAGTCGGAAAGCTTCATTTCTCAAGTCCATTTTCATTCAGGACTTCCAGACCTTTGGGTTTCTAGCTGCTGGGTGATGGATATGGCTGCAGGGGCTCCTCTGCCTCCTCTTCAGTGGACTGAAGAAGGTCACCCAGCAGACAATGATAAGCACCTTACTCTTGGTGCAAAGTCAGTTCTCACTTAAACTAGTTCTAGTTCTGCTTAGTTGATATGTAGATAGTAGAGACGTGCCGATCCAATACCGTCACACACACACAATCCTGCCTTCCGACACATCACGTGTTCGTCTGCTCATTGGCTACAAGTGTACAGCGTCAGAGAGTGTCTGCAACCCGACTGGTCGAATCTACAAGGGTGGGACTTGTGCGGACCGGGTTGACTGTCTGAGACACTCCATTGGCCCTTCAGGCTGTCACTCACCCCCAAAGCCCTCCTATTGGCCAAACTAGGTGTCAATCAAAAGCTGAGCCGTCCGTCGAGCTGCCTGTAGCGCTTTCAGCGCGATCTGAAATAGATTCAGGCTGATTTTACCAGAAGAAATGAATAAAACAGCCGGAGCTGATCTCAAGCTGGGAAGACATTACTGCAGAGTTTGTGCCTTTGAGGATCTAATACGTTTTACGGATTATTTGTACGGGATGATGTTGACTGGTTGTGTCCGGACAGAATGAGACCAAGCTGGTGAGGAATGAGCGATGTTTGAGCTGCAGAGAGCCTTCAAAAGTAAGAAAACTCCGATTTTAACATGTTGCTTTTCTGTACAAAAAGCTCTTTGTGTCAACGCTGTGGTTGCTGCAGGTCAAAAAGGTTTATATCATCGGAAAGAGGAGACTCTGAGCTTTCCTTTGATGTGTATGTTGTCGGGAAACGTGATTGTGGAGCATGCGCACATCTGGCTGTAATGTGTTTGGAAAGTGGTCACGTCCCGCCGGCGGGCCGTGGGAGCAGTAAGGGCTTAAAAATACTCTTCTTAAATATTTGTTTTTAAATTGGAAGTATATTTTGAGTGAAATCACCCTTTAAAACACCCGAACTAGAAGCCGTGCACTTCTCCGGCCGTAGCAGAGAGTCCAGCCTCTCCGTGCAGCCCTCTACCAGCAGCCTGTACGGGGCTCTCCGGCTCTGCACACACAACCTTCCTATTGGATCCCATCCCGCAGCACGTCACTACGTTTCCAGTTCATTTCACGCACTGAGAAATCCAATCCCTGCATGACCTCACTGTATCTGTCTTCTCTTAAGATCAGCACAAGCTATCCATTCACCTGGACTTCCAAAGCTTATTGACATCACTGGAGAGCTGCTGCTATCTTCATCGCCAGCGCTCATATGCTTTCTGTCCCTTCTCTTCCATAACTCAGTACCTCTGAGTCATGGACGAAGCACACAGATTGTGGGAAGGCCCGGTCCAGGCCGTGGGTAGCTCACCTCCACGTCCCATGCCAACATCGTGGTCTCTCCCTGAAGCTCTCATCTTTGGCAGTGTATGAACATGTTCTCCACCTGACCACCATCAGACATTGCTCAGAGGCCATGAATAGTTCATGTTCCATGCTGTGCCATAACTACGTAGAACTGGAGCCACAGGTTCATGTCAGTTCCTCTGTTCATCCTCCAACTACAGAATATTTCCTTTGCATCAAGTCTCCATTAGGTGTCTTGCCAGATGTTCATCTGATTGCATTCAGCATGCCGCTGATCCCCTGCATCCAGATGGGAAGGTTACGCATACTTTCACAAATTCAAAGAAAATGTGACATGCTTGTAGTCTCACATAATCTCATATCTCACGTAGAACAGAACATGTCCTTTGTGTCAAGGCTCTATGACTCTTCTGGCAGTTTAATGCTAGCAGCTGGACCTGCTTGAGTTCCTTGAAGATGTTCCACCTTCATCCAGGAGGCTCCATCAGCTCTGACTGACTAGCTGGGAGTTCCACATCCTGAAGGAGACGTTAACACCTGAGTTTGGGTTTTAATTGGGGGTTTGTTGCTCCTCCCCCTCGTTATGCAGGTCGTTAGTGCTCCCCCTGACACAGTGGGGTTCGTTAGGGTCTCTGTGGCTCGGTGTGGATGTGGGTTCATCTTCCTGGGGAGAGATCTGAGGACTGAGCTGTGAACAGGTGAGAGGTGATGCCTCAGACCTCCACCTCTGCTGAGGGATGGTGTTTCCAGTTAGATGGCTTCTTTCAGCCCCTCTCTCAAACCCTCTGTCCTCCCTGCAGGACAACATCTAGACGTTGTTGTCTCCACCGCAGGCTTTGCTTAGATAGATAAAGTGAATGACAGTGTTTAGTCTTGCATTGGCTGTTCCTTCCTCTTATCCAACTGTGTCTCTGTTTCTATGACATCAGAAAGTCAAGGCAGGAACACACAGGGTCACAGACCCACTAATCAGAACCTTGAGCTGCTCACACGGTTTGGATCGCCTCGGCTGTCAGCACAACTGTGTGTTTGCTTTTGTAAGAGGAACGCTGAATTTCTTTTCTCGTCCAGTTTGACCGTTTGGCTGCGCTGTGCAGGTTCAGAGGTGGGAAATGCAGAATAAATTAGTTCCTAACACTTAATGTGGTCTCTGTGGAGGCAGTCATTCTGGACTTGGCTCACATGATGACATTTTCCAGAGAAGGTCAGCTTCATCAGTAGAACAGGAGTGAAGGCGCTCTCACAGCTGCTGCTGACAAGTCATTTATCAGCAGGTCATGAAAGTCACTTGGTGTGATTTTGCCATGATGTGGTTCCTCATTTAAATGGCAATGGTACTGGATGTAGTTATTGGTTGGCTTAACATGGAGACCAAGTCGGGAAAGGACGTTTTTTTTAGCACCAATCAGAGAAGAGCTCAACCTGAAAACCTTTTATTTTTGCAGAAATGTGTGAATGTTGAAGGTGTAAAAGCCACACAGCACTGCCACCCCTCAGCTCCAGATGAACCGTTTGGCAGACCAAGTAATGCAGCACTTTTTAATGATTTGTGTTTTCGACAATACAAAATACCGCCTCAGTGCTGAAAGCCACTCAGACATGAAGCGGGCTGAAGTGCTGCCGGGTCCTGGTGTATGTTCACGCTGCCGTCAGGGCGCTCTGGGCCGCCACGGGTCACGTGTGACAGGAATTAAGCAACAGTCCTCGCAATGGTGGCAAATGTTTTTATAGGAAAGAATGTTCAGTGTGTGTGTGTGTGTGTGTGTGTGTGTGTGTGTGTGTGTGTGTGTGTGTGCGTGCGCTCTGCTGTGTTTGTTGTTCCACAGCTTTGGAGTGCTAGCCTCCAGTCGACTGATATATGTCTCCTCACATCCTGTTGCTGCCTAAATGGGCCAATCAGAGCCATTACAGCCACACAGGAAGTTTCCCTCTGCGGCCGCTGAGTGGGGGGGGGGTCACATCTCCGTCACAATATCAATACAAACACTTTGGTGGTTTCCATCATGGTTCGCTGACTGATACATTCGTCCCTGCGGTTAGATGTCCTGCTGCCTGTGTGATGCTGATCTCAGTGGATCAAGTTAGTCGACAGCTACGTTTGTGAAAGATGGAAAAGTCAACAGGATGATAAAGGCTGAGCTGCTCACGTTGAAGAACATTCAGAAAATTCCATCTTTTAAGTTTGTGCACTGCACAGACACAAACTGACCCAACGGAGGTTATGGTGACAAAACAGGAAGCGATTCTTCGCTGTAATAATATGCTGCTGCCAAGCTCGAACAGCTACTTCTGCAATTTGGCAGGAAGGTTGGAGGGTCCATTCAGATAAACCTGAGGCTTGGAGAAGAGATGATGGACTAATTCACTGTGAATGAGTGTTACTTCCCACCATGTGCAGCTGGCCTCGCAGTGCATTCGATTAAAAAAACACAAAAACATTTCAGACTGAGCAAATGGAGAACAGGAGACGGAACTCACTGCAGTTACTACAGATAAGAAAGGAAACAGTGGGGATGGAAAAAGAGGGAAGAGAGGACAGATAGCGATGGAACAACTGAGCATGACGAGGAGGCGTCGACACAGAAAGGGAGCAACGAGTGAAGCCTTTTAAGGCCAGACTGAAGTAACCGAAAGGGACCAAATGAAGGATAAGAAAGAACAAAAGATGCTTTCCATCACCATCAGTACAGACGTCTGCACAAGCTTACAAAGAACCACATCTGACTTGTGTTTCAAATCCATTTCAGGCCAAATGTCACACCACAGCCAACTGCTGGAAACACCACGACTGGCTTGTAAATACTTGAACAGTTGGAAACCATCTCCACAGCGCTGACCTTTGATGAAACAGCAAAACCTGCAGTGGAGCAAACTTTATTATTAAGCAGCATTTATTAGGACAAAGGTGAACAATTTCACATTTGAGGCATTTGAAGTACCTTTTGCATAACTTTGATCAACATTCTTGGACAAAACTCAAACGTATGTAAAGAAACAAGCGAAATGCTGAAGACGCGACTGCTTCAGTCGTCTCAGCTGAATCTGCTCAGAAACCTTTCTCTGTCTGCCAGTAGAAACTTAACCTTTATGAGATTTATTTGTCAGAATCAAAACATGTGCTGCTGTATTACTTGGGCTCAAGCCACAGCTTCTGGAAATAAGAAATACATTTAATGTGAAAGTGCCAAGAAAAAAGGGGGGACATGCAGTTCCTTGAATGGACACTTGGGGCAGGCTCCTATAACAGACCTCCAGGGTAGCGGGCCCAGTCATGCAGCAGCTGCAAAGGAGAAGCTTTGGTTCCTCAGTCTGATGTTCTTCACAGACAGCTGAAGGCGATCCGTTTCCCTGTAACTCACCAGGACGGGCCGTGTTCAGGCTGAAGGTTCTGCACAGCTCAGAACCCCCTCTCATAAGACAGACGGGTCTACGTGGTTCTGCCTCTTTACTCAGGTTTTGTCTGTTCTTTATAAACAGTCTGTGTTTTGAATTGGGTTTAGAACCAAACTTTGTGGTCTTGCTCACAGCTGAATCTGAAGCTAAGTCAATGACACATCGATTAGGATCTGAAATAAAAGCTGAAGCTTCTGAGGTGATTGTAGGAGCGACAGCAGAAATGTTCTGAAGAGATGCTTCAGCGTCTTACATCTTTAAGAAGCTAAAAGACGAGTCCAGTTGCTTTCTAATGAGGCTTCTAGGATTACTGGGACCTGGATGACTGAGAATCGACACAGACATCTGAGGTGATGATGTTCCTTCCTCCTCCAGGAGATAATGGATCACAAAATACCAGATGTATTTAGATACATAAGATGGGAAAGAGAAGCAAAGAAGGCAGGAGTAAATGTGATCCAGACATAGAAATGAGCGGGAGGTGAAAAGTGAGGCGAGGGGAGGAACCCAGGAGGAAGTGGGAGCGAGTCGGAGCCACAGTTTGGATCAAGGAGACGAGAGATGACCCATCCAAGGTCTAAACTCCTCTAAACAGTTTACACTGGGCATCCCCTAAGCAAACACACAAGCACTCATCCCCCATAAGACTTAAGACCATAAGACACACACACACACACACACACACACACACACAGCCATGTTGACTAAGGTTTACAAATGAATGGGACACAACCCTAACCTTAAAAATGACTCGCCAGCATTTTGTTTTCCGCCCTCTGAGCCCTCTGGTGGTGACAAGCGGCAGGGCAGCGTCCACACGGTGAACCGCTCGCTGCTCTTGGGAGGCTGTGATGGAACGTGTTGTGAGCAGATGATCGTGATTAAATCAACAGAGGGGAGGAGGGAACGGTTTGAGTGCAGCGTAAGGTGAAGCTCCTCTTGTGCCATTTTGCTTCATCAGTAGATGAATGCTTGTCATTCTGAGGTTCATGTGGGGTCTCAGCCTGTCTCTGCTCGAGCTTCAGCTCCTCTGTTTGGTCAAAGCCGGCCTTGAAACAGCGCTGAGGAAGTCGTAGGTTACGTATCATTTGCTGTGGGTTTGCCTTCTCTTCCCAAACAGCCACAGTGGACACAGCAGCCTGAAGCCATTTATCTCCAGTGACGTGCAGCAGATCCCCTCATTCAAGACTTTGCAAAAAAAGGAAAAAAAATGTGACATCACTCACAATGTTAGGATTTTATTTTTTCTATTCAGATTTCATTTAAAAAATTTTCTGTCCGCACAAAATGTCCACTTGTGAACAAGAAATCCTCAAATCTGACCGGTTCTTTGGAATGTGAGGTACGGAGCGCATCCAGGCAGTAAACCATGATTCATGGCACCGTCTGCAACCAGGAGCAGCACTACGTCCCACCAGCATCATGACAAAACAAGAACAAGTGTCTGGCTGGCCGTCACTTCCTGTTCTCCAGTATGTTCTTCCCATCGCGGCTGTTCTATGTCAAACAATAGCTGACATATTAAAGGCCGCATGTGAACGGCTTTGAGAGAATAAGAAGGCGTTACACATTTTTAGGGGTCACTATTAAAGTTTATGCAGAAGATAAATCCTAATGAGGCTTCATCTAGTGCCAGCGTGGTGGTAATGAAATCTCTTTATTACGTTGGACGGTTCAACATTTTGAGTTCTGACCCACGAGCAGCAAAATGAGTGACACTGCCTCCAGCTGAGCTTCGTGGTAACTCGTAGTCATCAGCGTGTTAACATGACTGCTACAGCGTTCAGAACGCATGCACTGAAAAAGCAGTTTCATTCCCCTTCAGACACATTTTTCCTGAATCTCCAATAAAACGTGTTGAATAATTCTGTTTATTTGCAAGCAATACAAAGAAATATCATAATGTCAAGAAAGTTTGGCAAAAACAATAAAGTTTCTGTAACATAACCAAAACGTAACATCACACTGTATTTATAAAGAAAGAAAACGTTCAAATTAAACGTATTTTCTCTGATATTACCTCATCGTAGTTGTTGTAATGTGATGTGAACACTGGACCCACACCGAGTCCAGGACCCAGATTTTAATGTAACAGCTGAAATGAAAAGTCTGATCTGACGCCCATTCAACATTCAGTCCTTCACAGTGAGGATCTATTTGCACATTGGGAACATTTTGGCCATTCTTCACTCATGAAAGAGTCTATTTTAAGGCACAGGAATGGATCCAGATAATGAAGTTCTGCATAATTTTAATTAGACTAAATGTGTGTCTGCGCCTCGTGGACACCGATGACGTGTTGGAGGACTAGAACAACCTACACGCCTGCTGGGTTTATCGTTACGTCAAACAATGATCAACAACACAGATCAACATCAAGAAAAGTACAAATTAAACAAGAATGCCCAAAAATGGAATCGCAGTTTGTCTACAAAACAATCAACAGCAATGGTTTAAAGTGATTGTGTGCCACTGTGGAATTAGCGAGCTGTGATCCGATCATACGGCACCAGAACTGACTGTCATCAGTGTGTTGTCCGGATACTATTATAGGAATAACTTTCCACAGACTGCATCTCTCAGTGACCAGTGAGCAGCACGGCACCCCGTCAGAAATCTGCTTCAGGGTTCACGATGACAAGAACAAAAAGATCCAATCATTCCAACATGCAGTGGATGATGCTCAACAAGGAGCTTTAGTTCCTATCATGGTTCAGTCAGAGCTTCTGATTGTCATTTCATGGAGGATAAATGTCATGCAGCAAGTGTGAGCAGTAACTCCTGTGAATCCAGACTTCCTGTCAGGTTGATTAGCACAGGGACCTTGTTTCACCTGTTTCTTAGTGACCATGTGCAGTTTCACCTGTAGAAGTAGCGCTGTGTCACATCTGGATGTCAGGAAACAGGCTCTATGTCAAGGATCATCACTGATGTGGAGAGGCTGGGCTGTCACCAAGCGCTGCTGTGGAAGAACCTGCAGTGAGTTCTCAGTCCAAACAACCAGAGTTGTGGTGCTTCATCAGGCCTGCTCGCAGCATGTTGAGAACATGCAAATGTTTTGGCTGCACCAACAAAATTGTCCTTCAACACCTGCTGTACTCGCCAGATTTGGTTTCCTGCAAACATGTTCCTCATGTCCAAAATGAAGTTGAAGTGGAAGGATCGCTGTTCTGACACAGATGTTGCAGATGAATCTGACATGTTTATAAAACGGGACTTCTGAGGAGTGCTCCAAATGTCCGCGACAGCGTTTGCATTTTGTAGGTGTGGATTGGAGCTTTTTGAGCGCCCCGTGTACATCTGAATGGTTTGTGTTTAAGTTTCTGAAGAGGCTGTTCATTCACACGTTTGGCATCATTGCTAACTAACGAGTATCAGTGTGATGGACAGGTAACAGGTATGTCAACAGGTAGCAGCAGCTACTTCAACATGACATATTTGTGACACAAAGCAGGTAAAGGCTTCAGTTTGGCTCTCTTGAAATAAAAAACAGGCGGAAAACGACTCTGTGGTACCTTTGTCTTGTGCTTGGGCTCCATCTCGGGGTTCTTTTAAAGTGTTTCCAGGCACCAAATCACTCCACAACTCAATGCTTTGTTTTCTACACAGGAACTAAGGCTTTCGTTGAAGTTAGCAGTCTGCTTCAGTCTCAGCGTTCATGCTTAGTCTGTTTTGGTGCATCCGCTCCAGTATCCGATGGATGCTGCTGAAGCTCGGCCTGTCTGATGGGTGTGTGCTCCAACAAAGCCTCATCAGATTGTACAACTCCAGAGGACAGTTCTCAGGACTGGACAGGATGTGACCATCCCTCACGTAGTAAATGACCTCCTCATGACCCATACCGTAGTATGGCTGCATCCCATGGGAGAAAATCTCCCACAACACCACCCCATAGGCCCACACATCTGACTCTGTGGTGTAGCGGTTATAGAAGATCGACTCCGGGGGCATCCAGCGAATGGGGATGGCGTCGTTCTCGTTGGCTTTGTAGTAATCGGCCGAGTAGATGTTTCTGGAGAGACCGAAGTCTGCAATCTTCACCACCATTTCCTCCCCGACCAGGCAGTTCCGGGTGGCGAGGTCACGGTGGACGAACTTGCGCTCCGATAGGTAGGCCATCCCTGCAGCAATCTGCTTGGAAATGGATAGCTGCTCCGAACAGGACAGAGGTCCCGCCTCCCCATCGGAGGAGAAACTGCGACCGGAGAGACTAGCTCGGCTGAGGGTTCGCACCGATTGGGTGGGAGATCGGCGACGCAGGAACTCGTTGAGGTCGCCGTGGGCCATGTACTCGAACATCAGACACATCGGTTTTCCCACTGCACACACACCTGGGGAGAGAGGACACAGACGGCTTTATTCCATGACCTTCATGCTGATCATAGACGCTGGCTTGTACGTCCCACCACAGAGCTTGGAGAGAACAAACACAGAGTCTCAGCCACACAAACATGTCGGTGACCTCAGTGAACACTCCGACAGCATCACACAATGAGCTCATTCACTGTAAAAGGTAAACAAACATTCGGCCGAGACACAAACAGACAGAACCGTGTGACCACGTGTCCATGCTCACAGCTAACAGCTCATGCAGTCTGCATTTACAACCCGGTGATGGAAACATGGTGGACCTCTGAACTGAAGGCGTGTTTGCTTTGTGCTGCTGTGGGGAAACGCAGGCAAACAGAGGATTCCTAAACTTGGAGCTCGGACAGAGGCTGCATATCTTGTGGATCTCAGTTCTGATTAAGAGACTCAGAAATAACATTTTCTGTGTATTTGGCAGCAGTTCTCCAGTTGGCAACCTTGAAGCGTGTTGAAGTCTGAACACGTTAATGAATTTACAGTAAATGCGGTGGACGTGGAACCTCCGTCATTCAGCGCTGGAGGACGACTCCAGCTGCATTTTACCATCAGTTGTGAAGGACAGCAGCGAAGTCTTTGGGTGTAACAGCAGCGCTGCAGAGGTGACCAGACTTTATTTACCTCCTGTAAACGAGTGGCTGTCTGCCTGTGTGTTCATGCATTCCTGTAAATGCTTGTTGCCATGGGAACTACAGCACACACTGTTCGGACTGTGCAGAACCCCGGCAGCCCGGCACAACTCCTACGTATGTCGTTCATAGTGTCAGCTTTTTACAGCTCTGTGGAGACAACAACATATTCATAAATCACCAGATTTGCCAAAAGAGCAGAAGTGGTCCACAGGAACCGAGCTGGACTCACTTTGCTCCTGCATGTGTTCTTTTCGGTTTAGTGCGTGACCAGTTGCTGCACTGGACTGTTCTGAGCCATGTTGGCCACAGTCATAATTTGGATTGATTGCACATCATTACTTCTGTTTTTGTGACAAATTGGAAGCTCAACGACCCGCCGGTCGGCCCGTCACTCTGAATGGTTCTAAACTTTGTTGGAGTGCAGAGAAACGTCTTGCAGAGCTCCCAAATCCCTGCGAAATGCAAAATATGTCAGCTTGAATTTCGTGGAAATCAATAGAGGACTAGATTGACTGAGACAGAAAACCATTACACAGTTAGCTCTTGGACTGGACCTGGCGCTGCTCGCCGTGGATCCACACTGTGGACGAGGCAGAGCCGAAGGAAGCAAGTTGAGCTGTGACACCCAAAGTAAGAAATAATAATCTTAATTAAAATATTTGTTTTTAATGCAGTCCATGCCCAGATATGAGGAAGTGAACGGTTATTACTCCAAATATTGTTCCTACGATTATGATAGGATAATATTTAGCATAATTATTCATATATTAGGAGGTCAGGAGCATGTTCGTGGGAAACAAAGGGGATGAAGGAATAGAAAACACATTAAAGCCGTAAAAACACACACATGGCACCGAAGAGAGAAAACAGAAGGCAGCGGAGAGCAGGTGAAGATGGTGTTTATGGATGTTCATACTGAGGAAGAGCCTGAAGTTCAAAAGGAAAATAATTCAGTACATCAAAAGCCACACGTCCATGTCCTGGAGAAGACGCACATGTCGGCATTTTGTTTCGTTTGTAAATGAAATTTTTTTTTTAAGTGAGATGAAGAATTGCAACATGTTTCCTCAGAAATTCTGGCTGATGGAGGAGTTCTGGGAGGTGGTGCTGAGTGAGTTCATGTCCTGTGGGTCGCAGAGCGGGCCGGCTCCCAGAGGACCGGCTCTGATTACTGAGGCCAGCGGTGGGAGGTGCAGATGCCCCTCAACAAGCTGCAGTTCAACAGTAGCAACCTTGCTGAAGGTCAGTGGCTGGATTAAAGGGTTGCTCCCCATCGCTATAAATATACATCTACATATATACATATATATACATATATATGTAAGGAAGAAAGCGTCCTCATCCTGCACACACACAGATCAAAGTCACGACATGCAAACACATGGTTCTCTAATTGTGACACATCCATGTTACGGATGGCGCGTGTATTTTTACACATGATTTACGGTGTATTATTAGTCCAGGGGGTAATTAGAGCTTAGGGAAATAATCTAATCAACTCTGGTTTCATGTGCTCCAGAGACTTTGCTGTCAGTGTGTCACTCTTTAGACGAGTCACTCAAAACAGAAAACATCAGAATCCTGTGAAAACATTACGTCTCTGCAAACGGTTTTAATGCTGATTTACTTCAGAACCAGCGGCGCTGTAGAAGCAGCTTGTTTCAGTGGCTCTGTTTACTCACTGACAGCTCCACACAGAGGATGTCTTCCCCCAAGTATATTTGGATGTGAACTGTTTGTGTTAGATTAGATTAGGCTGTATTGCTGTAGATAAACTTTAATAGAGGACATTTGTTTTACTGAGGCCAACATGTGCTGTCAAGCAGCAAACAGTCCTATCGCAGTCTGTAGTGGTTTTATAGCATCGTTGTAAAAAAATAAAAAGCAAAGGGACATGACTTCATTCAGGGGAACTGCTGCAGGTGTGTGCAAGGTAGGACTTGAATTTACAGAAGTATGTGTGGAACATGCAGGTCTTCATCCTAATGGGACTTGTTCCCTAACATGCTTGTGTGAGCTCTGCTGAGGCGAAACATGATGCAGCTGCATAAATCAGGTCAACAGGTGCATTTCTTTTAAAGCAAACGTTTGCCACCTGCAGGGCAAGTTCTTGCTAAGTTTATGCACATGCCTAATAGCCCATAGTTTCATATATGTGGCTAAAATTACTTGACAACAAAACACGGCTTTCAGAGAGCAGAGGTGGCTGTAGAGCAGAAGACAAGGTCTGAATCCTCAACCTCTGCTAAAGAGCATTTTGCAAAACTGAATAAAATGAAAATATTCAATCAGCCAAGAAGGATCTATTGTATGTAAAACCAGTGACGAGGGCCCAGATTACAGACCAGTGCATGTTGGCAGTAGAATACGTGGTGCTGTGTTTATGGCTGTCAGAGGTTCCTCATGTCCTCCTGCCTGCACCACACCTGTTTCATATCTCTTATATTCTGAGTTTCTTAAACCTTCCTGTTTTCTCTCTTGCTGTGTTTCTGTATCTGTTTTTGCGCTTTGGTTCTCCCTGAAGCCAACACATGGATCCAGCAGCTATCCGATGTAAAATCCAGCTGTGATTGAGGTCTCTTTGGAAATCTGGCTACAGCCTGCACAGCTTTTTCTCTTTCACACGCACACATGTGAAAACGCACTGACCCAGGAGTCGCACAATGTTCGGATGGTCAAACTCGGCCATGAGCGCTGCTTCTCTCTGGAAGTCGTTCTGCATGTCAGCTGAGGCTTCCTCCTTCAGCATCTTCACAGCCACCATCGTGAAAGACTCCATGGGCAGCAGGCCTGGTGCTCTGAAACACACACATTTCCCAGGACGGTTTAGTAGCGACCTGAATAAGCATGAAAACAAGTACTATGACTTCTAACATTGCATTTTTGTCCCATTGTGCAGCTCTCTGAAGCCGTGTGTTTGGAATTTGTCCTCTAGCTCCTCGTCCTTTAGCACAGCAGCGTAAACGGACTGTAAATGTCAGAAGCACACATGCATACGTACGTACACACACTTCCTGTGTTGGCTCACAAGGGGCAAACTAAAGTGAGCATGTTGTTTCTCAGCCTAGATTTATATATAGTTTGCACACACTAAACACATGGAATCACTCACACACACACACACACACACACACACACACACACACACACACTGAAGCCCATCTGTCAGGGACACAGTTATTTACTCCTCGGCTCTATTTAAGCAACTGTGTGCTAACTGTGCACCGATACGATTGTTTATCTGAACCCCCGAGCATGTGCAGGAAGCAGCCTGTATGTGCACACAGGTTAAAGGTTATGTGTGTACACAGGGTTTATGTGACAGTGTTGCTGCTCTTGTGCTTTCCTTAAGAGGACCTTTTACTAATGAACGCTGGGATTTTGGGCTGAGATGCAAGTTGACAGAAGCGTGGCAAAATCTGTAGTCGTCAATCAAATCTTGTGATTCTAAATGATTGATGTCGTACCGTCAGACGCAGATTGCAAGAAAGATTTTGCAAGTTGTAACTCGTATAGTACAGCATGCAATAAACTCATAGAGTTTGAAGCCACCTGAGGAGAAAAGGTTCAATCAGCACCCTGACATGTGTGATCTGCATCCGTCAGAGTGTGATGTTCCCAGGGGTGTCCGTGTACTGCACCATTCCTCTCCTCACTCAGGGATTACCAGCTGACCTTCAGGACAGATCTCACATTTGATTGGCTACTCGCTGCAGGTGCTACTGTTAAAATACCACAAACTGTGATGCTGAGATGAAGCCATCATGGGATCTGTCCCTGAAGCACATTTATGTGTCGTGTTGTGCAGATTGCAGTTGGCTGTATGTGGTGCCTGTGGGGCATCAGTCTGCTGCTTAGGACACAAATCCAACGGTCCTAGATTCCTTTTTTGCTTCTGTGAGAGAAACAAGTCATCACAATAAAAGCCCCAAATGTTCCTAAACAGAAGACTGATGTACTTTAAAGCTCTTCATGACACAGTGGCTCCTCTCTGTCGGGCTGGGGTCAGAGCTGCTACGTGGGTGAAAGGCCAGCGGGAAACGTCTGATAGCGTTAGAGTCAGAAAAATGCTCAAATCAACATGCAATGACTTCCGCTGTCCTGAATTCTTCTGCAAACATTTTAATGGGCTGCAGAGGTCGTCAGTCATGGATGGACTGGCTTGCACTGACCTCGACCACGTGGGTTTGTCATCAGCACATTATTAATATTAGCAGCATTTTGCTATGCAGACTTGCCATCATTATAAAAAAGTGCCTGACCTGCATTCATGCATAAAGTGTCAACTTCTCAGAACTGTCTTTAAAGCATAAATATCCCAGGTACGAGTCAAACACTGCCGACTTGTTGAATGATTTATGACATTTCAGAAAATACAGCCAGCATGTGACCCAGGTCTGGTATTTGTCCAGATCACAGGGACTAGTTGAGACGTTTGTGTCCTGCTGTGAGCTGGGTCGGTGAAAGCGACACCTGTAGCTGCTCTCCTTGTGACTTTGTGAATGACGCAGCAGTTCTCAGAATGACCAGCAGCCTTGTTTAGCCACGCTGTCCTCCTCCTGTTTCAACCCTCCTCCTCCTCCGCCTGAGAGATATCCACATCATCATGTCAGCCCCCTAATTAAATATTAAAATGTTCCTCTTTCTACATTCTCTCTGCCATTTGGCAAGAAAAGCTCTTCAGCTTCTCTTTCTTGCAGTCCTTCTGTTGTGTTGCGTGCACTGGACAGATCCAGCTATGTTCTGCTCCATCTCCCCTCCTTACCTGGCCTGGAACACCCGTCCAAACGCTCCCTCCCCGATATCTCTAACATATTGGATGTTATTTCGGGGATACTCGAGGGCCAGCAGCTTGGAGTTGAGCAGCAGCGGGACTCGCTGGTACATGGGGTTTGGGTGGAGTCGATCCAGCAGGAGCTCGGACGGAAGGGCGCTCAGCGTCGGGGTCTCCATCACCCTGTTGACAAAGATAAACGTGAGGTTTAAAAGGAAGGACAGACAAAGCACTGAGCGTCACCTCATTGCTTTTACCTCTTCCGGTTCCTCCACTGCTTCCTCCGTCTGCGGCAGGCGAGGATGACGATGGCGAGGAAGACGGCAGTCGCGAGCGAGGTGAGGACGATGACGATGACGGACATGGAGTAGGCTGGAGATGAGATGGTGGTCGTCGGGGGGAGGCGAGGAGTCTGACGAGGGCCTGCAGACTCCGGCTTCGTCACTGACAGAGACAGATGCAGCAAAACATGAACTTTTTAAAATATTACAGAAATGTGTGTGAAGTGGAGAACGCCTCCGAGTGTCTTGACTGTGGCGGTGTTCTCATCAGTAGCTGTGTTAGCAGCTAGCTGGTCAGGCAGCCAGACGGGCAGGATGTGGAAGCAGCAGAGCCAGTACCTGCTGCTGTGCTGATCTCCCCACACTGTGGCACAGTGCAGTACTCCCAGCGTATGTTCGGGTTGGAGGTGTAACACCAGGGCTTGTCGCTGATTCCTCCTGGGTTCCTGCAGTGGTTCTCTGAATTCTTCAGCTCTGGAATCACATCCACAGACAGGCGATGCTGGTGGGGAACCTGCAGGAGGAAATACGATGGTAAGGAGGAGACAATGAAGCTATAAGGTGTTGTGCCTTTACTGATCTCCTGTCATGTGTCTGTGTCGCTTCTTTTGAGTTCTTTAAGTGGTTAGATGATGGTTAGAATCAAACTCATGTATCTGGAGGTGTTTCTGTGCAAAACACAATCTGTTCTGCTGAATGTGCTCCTCAGGGGTAATGAGTAAACAGAACCAGTCAGGCTGAGTAAAGCACGTCTATTCCAGCCTGATTTAACGGGACAGAGTTCTTACTTTTCCTGGAAATTAAACTAGGATGACCTTCCAAATGATTTCACATGTTTTTTTCAAGGCCCTGTTGTTGATCTTCAGTAAGGCTGCAGCTTAATAACCGCGGGCCGTAACGTCTGCTGGAGTGAGGGACATGAGGAGTTGCATGACTGTTCCTAGATCCAGTCCGCCAACTCAAACATGGAGCATCTGGTCGTCTCTGTGTGCCACGAACTTTACTCATCAGAGGAGCAGTGGTCAAGTTGATCCCAAGAGACACGACGATACGAGCTGAAGAGGACGAGTCTGACAGAAGCCAACTGCTCGCACAGTCAATCTGACACTGGTGTGAGGATGTTGAAAAATGACAAGCTAGGCCGTGTCTTCCACAATCATCTGTCGCCTCCTGGCAGGAAACGAGATGCCAGTCTGCGCTGTCACAGTGCGACACCATCCAACCATCCATCCCTATCTTCTTCCTGCAGACGTGTAGCGCTGCCATCCAGCCATCAGTTAGAGATCAGTTCGTCTGATGACCACAAGGGGTCGCTTGACAGGAAAAACAAAGAAAGGCGCACAAACACCTGAACAACGCTGCTGTTGTTCTAGTTGTAATAAAGTGCTTTACAAGGTGATACCACCTCGCCTTAACCAGCAACCATTAGTTCACGGTGGTAGCATTCAACTGAGTGGTGACTCAAACAGTGTGTACTGAACCATGTCGCAGCCACTCTGGTGGAGTGACTGGTGGCCATCCAGTTACTCCATGTGATGGACGCAGCAGTCGCCTGGTTTGTTCATTAAACATACCATCAGAATGACAGAACATCTTACACTCATTACCAATGTTTTCCACGTCTCTGCAATAAAACTGCATCCAAGTCAGACTGAGTAGTAAGTAAAGCATGACTCAGCACAAACAGGCTGTACAGCTGACATGCTTGTGCTGAGCAGAAGTGTGACTTCATGTGGAGGACAACGTGTGCTGCTTGTTTCATATAGAGCTCATATGCAGGACATTTTAAACCCAGCATAAGAACACTTAGTTCAAACACGTGATGTACAGAAGGTGAACCTTAAAGCCAGACATCAGCTTGTGATCTTTGTTTTAATGAATACTGACTGAGCAGCAGAAACACCAGAGCTGCTCCTCTGGTGGACATGAAGAAGCTGCATTCTTCTGTAATCCACCACCTTCAGTAGAGGTTCATGAATTAGGGATGGA